AAGGCTCCTGTCAGTTGTCGATATTACAAAACATGATCATCTCATACATCAACATATATCACATCATGTCTTAACCATATCACATCACAACATGCCCTGCAAAAACAAGTTAGACGTCCTCTACTTTGTTGTTGTAAGTTTTACGTGGCTGCTACGAGCTTCTAGCAAGAACCGTTCTTACCTACGCAAAAACCACAACGGTGATTCATCAAGTTTGTTGTTTTAACCTTCTTCAAGGACTCGTAGTCAAATTCGATTCATCTTAAGTAGGAGAAACAGAAACCCGCCAGCCATGTTTATGCAAAACTAGTTGCATGTCAGTCGGTGGAACCGGTCTCATGTGCGTGGACATGTAAGGTTGGTCTGGACCGCTTCATCCCAAAATACTACCGAATCAAAATAAGATGTTGGTGGTAAGCAGTATGACTATCACCGCCCACAACTCTTCGTGTTCTACTTGTGCATATCATATATGGATAGACCTGGCTCGGATGCCACTGTTGGGAAACGTTGCATGGAAAACAAAAAAAATCTTCACACATGCAAGATCTATCGAGGAGATGCATAGCAACGAGAGGGGAGAGTGTGTCTATGTACCCTCGTAGATTGTAAGCGGAAGCGTTTGTTAACGTGGTTGATGTAGTTGAACTTCTTTGTGCTCCAACCGATCGAGTACCGAACGTACGACACCTCCGAGTTCAGCACACGTTCAGCTCGGTGACATCCTCGCCTTCATGATCCAGCAAGACGGTGAATTAGTGGATGAGTTCCTGCAGCGTGACGGCGTGGAGGTGATGATGGTGAAGCTGTCTCCGCAGGGCTTCGCCTAAGCACTACGAAAATATGACCGAGGGACTAAACTGTGGAGGGGGGCGCCGCACACGGCTAAGCAATTGTCATAGTTATGTGTGGCTCCCCCCTCCCACATATATATAGGTGGGGGAGAGGGGAGAGGCCAAGAGGCTCCCCAAGTAGGACCGAATCTTAATTGGGCTCCTGCCGTTGGTCGCCCCCCTCCATATTTGCTTCCGGGAGAAAGGAAAGGGGGGAGAAAGGAAGGGGGAGGCCGAATCCCCCTTTCCTTACCCCCCCTAGGCTGGCTGGCATAGGAGGGGCGGGCCAGCCCCTTGTGGGCTGGTGCACTCCCTTCTTTTGGCCCATATGGCCCATGTACTTCTCGGGGTTGCCTGGAACCCTTTCCGGTGATCCGATAACTACCCGGTGCACTCCGAAACTCTTCTGGTGTGCGAATATCATCGTCCTATATATCAATATTTACCTCTGGACCATTCTGGAGCTCCTTGTCGTGTCCGTGATCTCATCCGGTACTCCAAACAACCTTCAGTCACCAAATCATATAACTCATATAACACTATATCGTAACGAACGTTAAGCATGTGGACCCTGCGGGTTCGAGAACTATGTAGACATGACCGAGACACCTCTCCAGTCAATATCCAATAGCGGAACCTGGATATCCATATTGGCTCCTACATATTTTACGAAGATCTTTATCGGTCGAACCTTATGACAACATACGTAATTCCCTTTGTCCATCGGTATGTTACTTGCCCGAGATTTGATCATCGGTATCTTCATACCTAGTTCAATCTCGTTACCGGTAAGTCTCTTTACTCGTTCCGTAATACATCATCTTGCAACTAACTCCTTAGTCACTTTTCTTGCAAGGCTTCTTATGATGTGTATTACCGAGAGGGCCCAGAGATACCTCTTCGATACTCGGAGTGACAAATCCTAATCTCGATCTATGCCAACTCAACAAACACCTTCGGAGATACATGTAGAGCATCTTTATGATCACTTAGTTACGTTGTGACGTTTAATAGCACACAAGCTATTCCTCCGGTATTCAAGAGTTGCATAATCTCATAGTCGAAGGAATATGTGTTTGTCATCAAGAAAGCAATATCAATAAACTGAACAATCAATATGTGAAGCTAATGGATGGGTCTTGTCCATCACATCATTCTCCTAATGATGCGATCCCATTATCAAATGACAACACATGTCTATAATTAGAAAACCTTAATCATCTTTGATCAACGAGCTAGTCAAGTATAGGCTTACTAGGGACACGGTATTTGTTTATGTATTCTCACAAATGTTTAAGTTTCCGATCAATACAATTCTAGCATGAATAATAAACCTTTATCATGAATAAGGATATATATATATATATATATATATATATAATAACAATTTTATTATTGCCTCTAGGGCATACTTCCTAAGTTGTTTCTTCTGGTCCATAAAAATTCTCCAAAAAGTTTTGTTGCGTTTGGACTCCGTTTGGTACTTATATTCTGCGAAGTAAAAAAACAAGCAAAAAACAGCAGCTGGCACTGGGCAACGTGTCAATAGGTTAGTCCCAAAAAATGATATAAAGTTGCTATAAAATGATTGTAAAACATAACAGCAGGTAAGAAGCAAAAAATATAGATACGTTGGAGACGTATCATCGTCCCTCTCCGCTTGCAGGATGCGCAACCGGCATCGCTCGCGGCGCATATCATGGGGTGCTGCGCATGGACTCGTACAACACCCGCTGCTCATCCATGCCCGCGACGACTTCGTTGTTCGCCTACTCTCCGGTGATTTGCCCCTCCGAGAGACGTGCCCGTCGAGGAGTCGGAGGTTGTAGCTTTGGTCGTCCTACGTCTATCAGTATGCCAACACTGGTTGTTCCTACTGCTCTTCCGCCATTACAACTTTGAAGTGCCCCCGCGCCTGGTCCAAGGTGACGCCGGCATGGGCCGGTGAGGACGGTGTGCCAGCTCGTCGTTGTACACATACATCGTCTTGTCGGTTTCGTTGCTCTCCAGCAAGCCAACCTCTATCTGACAGGCTTGGTGGACCTGCCAGCTGGCCGCAATTCCGGACAGCTCTTGCTTCTATTCGGTTGAGAGGTTATCACACTGAACTTGGGAGCTCGTGGTCATGGCGGACATGGTGCACAGAGGAGATCGGGAGTGAAGGTGTTATTTGGATCTTGCCGGGCCTGGGCATGTATAAATAGCGGGCGTCGGCGGGGCCAAGCGGCGGGCTATGTGAATGCAGGCTCCAGAGTGAGTTTCTCGGCAGTCGTGGTTGTTTAATGTTGGCAGGCGGACGAACGTGGTGGTGTCTAAATGCAGAGAGAGCCGTCCGGTCAAGTCTCTCCCGCATTAAACAGGCACGGATACCGGGACGCAGCATGGGCGACGCTCTCGACCAACACTCACCGCTTCAATGCCGGCCAGTGAGAGGTCGCGTTCGCTCTTGGCCGGCATGAATACGACGCTGGCACTCTGGAGTGGCGCTGACCGGCAAGAATGCGCGGCAACTGCTTCGCACGCGAAAGGATGCGGGCAAGGGACAGGGTTGTGGGTGGGTCCATGGTGCCCGACGAGTATGTGGTAGTAGTCCGGACGCCCGCAAAGCCCTTGTTTGTCTCCGATTTGTGAGAAAACAGACGTCCAAAATGATCCGCCGGCCAATAAGGTATCGCGTTGGAGGGTAAATCGCGTCCATACCACTCGGCTTGTACGGATGCGGGCAGTCTGAGTGTCCATGTTGAAGATGCCCTTTCAACCTTTAAATTCGTGTGAAAGGAGTCTCTGACTAGTCACGGATTCGACTGCCCTTTTCACTATTACTCTCTCCTTTCACAAATATAATATGTTTTGGATATTTCAATATAGATTATATACAAACTAAAATGAGGGAGCAAACATACTAAAACAGGCCTACATACGTCTGATTCACGAAAAAAGTTAGAACATCTTACTTTTATAAACAGAGGGGGTATCAAGCACACGTTCACATTCGTCGGAACTGTACAGTCTGTGTGATCGTAATATTACTTAGGGTGCGTTTGGAATAGATGTAATTCGATACGTAGGTGTTTCACTAATATGCGAATCGGACCGGCGTTGAGCAATTTATGTCGGAAATGAAACCGATCTTCCAACGTCGTTCTCC